TAGAGTGAAGCAGGCTCATGAGCCTCCCAGTATCAAATTCCTTCACCTGAGAGATAGCTCAGCCTGCAGTTGAGTGTTTTCTTAAAGATCATTTTGCACTTACAAGCCGGAGCTGATAAAATAGAGATACAAGACAAATTATGCTACCTCTCATACCACTGCAAAACCAGAGAAATTACTGAGGGTTTTTTTCTGCATGTAGACTAGGGAAGAGTTTGGTCCTAAGATCTGACAGTTAGTTTAACAGTATGGATAGAATAAAAGGATAGCTGCTGAAAAATAAAAGAATACACTGAAATTTCATGTGACAGGCAGAGGAATCATTGATTCCACTAGTTATTTAAAAACAAAAACATTAAGAAGAAATTAGTTTTGAGAGAAAGCATTAAACTAGGTTAAAACAATATCATAGGGATGCTGCAATGCTCTCCACAAGGAAGAGAAAAACAAGTAAAGGATTCCTATTATGGTACAGTTTCCATGCAACCCTATTTCTGTTCTGTTTTGACATTTTGCAATAATATTTCCATTATTATTACAGCATTTGCTTTTAGAAATATTGACAGGATCATAATTGATTTGATTAATAAAAATATTTCTCCCCTTTTCTGCTATATTTATGTGGAAGAGCATAATATTTTAAGAAAAAAAAGGAAAACATGCAATCTGCATAAATGTGCAATAAATTTTCTTGCTATTATTTTTCCTATGTCTATGAAATTTTAAAGTCTCCAAAAGATGTATTATTATCTTTTTCAGAAATGCAAATATTTACTGCCACTTGATAAAGGATTAGCAAGTCCTTTATCAAAAGCATAGTATTACACATAAAAGTCTAAATTCTCTATTACTCCCTCCATATAAAGTTATTATTTATTTGAGAAGGGTATTTGATTTGACTGAGGCTGTTCTGCAAAAACAATGCTTCGAAACTCAAATTTAAACTAAGTTGATAATTCTTAAAATTAAATAACAGCCAGAGGGTTTTATGCTGGGCTATGCCTCTAATATTTCTAGATAAAATATACGCATACCTTTTCCCAACTGTTACCTTTTTAAACATTTTATAACTACATATGTAAAATGCTTGTTTATTTTATTGAGTCTTTTTATATGCATTGGCACACTCATAACTATATTTTTTTATTGCAACCACAACAGTGTGGTTATATGGATACCTGAAAGAAGATGTGTTTTTTGAATCTTATAGTTCTTTAGAGTTCAAGGTTTTCAGGACAAAGAATATTTATATTTGAAATTTCTGCAAGATTTGCAATCTATGAAACCCAAATATATATATATATATATATACACACATACAAAGAGTCCTATTCAGTTCTTGTGTGTTATAAATCTTTTTCTACTATCTTCCACAAAATATCTTTTTGCACTTAAAATACTTCAAAAACTAATGCTGACCAGATTTTGGCCTCCCTATCACATGAAATGAAAAATTTCCTGTTAAGATTGTGGCTATGAAAAAGACTGAAATTGCAGTGTGTAGAGGAATTTTTCCTTTTCTTTGTGATTCTCTTTTGCACAAGCATTAGCAAACTTTAAAACAATCAAAATAAGGATCAGAGTACCCAGCAATAAAAGAGAAAAAACCCAAATCTAAGATAAAAGGCTGCTGAAACCAATTACAACCATGTCTTTGTACAGCCCTTTGACAGGCTGCTTCCCAAGGGTGCCCCCATCTCTGGCCATGGGGCAGTTTTGCAGGGAGCCACTAGTTCCCAATGGAGACACCAAGGCTGCTGCTCTTCTGGTGTCTCTAACAAATACAACCCGGGAACAACCACAGCTCTCATTCTACCGAGCAGCAGCTTTTGCTGGCCAGCAAGCCCTGAATCTGTCATCATCCAGGGAAGTGTGATGCAGGGATTTGGGGACCTACCTTCACCACATGGAACTCGCAAGTGTTTAGGTCCCAGTCTCACCTAGGCAAGGAGAAGGCAAAGGACTCTTACCTGAGCTGAGCAAGAACAGAAAGAGAAAGGCAGCTTTGCTAATCCTCATTTTGGCCCCGCTGGCGGGTGCTGGAAGTTGTGTGTGTCAGTGCACAGTTTTATTGACTTGCACTGAAGTGAGGCAGCATCAAATAAACAAGGCAGGAGGATTAAGTTAATCATTCTCCCATGCTGTTCCCCCCTTGCCCATGATGTGGCCATTCAAACAACCTTGAATTGGATGGATTACCAAATCAGATTCAATCATTTCTACTGGATGCTATCAAATGCAAAGGCACTTTCTTGTTTTGCAGGATATTTTTTGTTCTCAAATGGTTAGGTCTTTCTATGCTAGAGAAAAGACAGAAATAATGTTGATGGAAAGCATGGGAAATCATGTGTCCAGGCAAAATTTGAATTTCTCTTGACACTAGAGTCCCAATAGTAAGTTCAGCCATGCATACCTGTATTGATTTATAAGGAGCAACTTCTATTTAATCTCAGGGTAAGCATGATTATAAAATCCAGATAATAGTAACTCTGTAAAATAGTTTAATTGTACTTGTTTATTAAATAATTCCTTCTCTGCTATGTCTTCCTGACCCAGACTTATTTATTTCTGTTTGGAATAGGACTTAATTTTCATTTTAGTTAATCTTTAGGTTTAAGAGTTGACTCTAAATCTTAAATATTAGCTTTAAGAGCCCTGGATAGCAATTTAGTGTTCTTCCTTATCAGACATTTAACCTCACGCTGCATGTACAAACTCATCCAGTGAGGGTGTTAGACTTTGCTCATCTGTGTATTATCCTGATTTCAACATCAGCTCACTCTATGTTTCCTAAGTGGCCTTTACCTTGGAAGAGTTGCACTGCAGCACCATTTCTTGGCTTCTCTTGCAGGTTAGCTCACTGGTGTTGCTTCAAAACAACTCATTGAGTCAAATGTGCTCATGACTCACCAGGGGCAGGAGCAGGATGAATACTGAACAAGGAAAGCAGACTTGAATGGGCACTGCTGGCTCATGCAATTCAGTCTTCTGCAATTGAAGGCCAAAAGTTCACAGAATCATGAGTTCCTTCTAAAAACTAATGAGGCTATCCACTTCCTTGTCATCCTGTTTGCTTTAAGTAGAAATTACATTGTATTGAGGGCTTGGGATAAAATTAGAAGTGCAGGAGTAAATATGTGAGAGAGGCATTCTAGTATGAGAACCAGATTAGCTTTTATTTTACAGATTATGTGAAAAATCTAGAGCTCATCCTGCTTGTGGTCCTGTACTATTTTTCTCCTGTAGGGTACTGTAATACCATGTTATTTGGTTGTCTTCTGTGATTGAATCTGTATTAATGCAACGTGTAAACAATGGTAAAACATGGTATATCTGTAGAGGCTTGGGATACCACTGATGTTAGTCCAGGGAAACAAAGCAGATGGACCCAAGAGAGGAGCTGAAGGGTGCTGGACTCAGCTCAGGGAAACATGAGAGGTGTGACAGAGAGAATGGGTCAGATATAGTGCAATTATATGTGGGATTAGGTTTATCAGGTTTTAGGAACAATTGCTCATAGGGAAAGGATAAAATGAAGAAGCAGAATACAAAATAGGCTTCACTAGTAAGCAGGTTTTTGAGAGCTATTAAAGTCTGTTTTAGCCCCACATGTTTTTAACAATCTTAACCCTGTTTTCAACTCTTCCTCTAAGTCCTGGTTTCCCTCTCTCCTGCTCTATACCTTTGCCACTGTCTTCTCCACAGCCACAGACAGCATCTGCTCGCCAATCCTTGTGCCTCCTTCCCATCAGATATTATCAGATAGTGGTTTTCCCCTTATTCCAATACAAAATTTATTTTCTGCTCAACCCTGCCCTCCTCAGCATCTCTGGCATCTTTCCCATTCTTCTGTAACCTCCATTTCCACTGACATATTTGTTGGGTTACTGTGTTATGATGCACATCTGGTCGTTAAAGTCTAAGAAAAAAGTTGCATAAGTAGGTGAGTGCAGCCATTTCTCCTACATGGGAGAGGTTTGAGAAGCCTTGAGTCTTAACTGAGTTTGTAAAACTCATTGACAAATGCTATGAATTAGAGATTTTAATCAGATCAGCTTTTTTTACTGGTTTTCAAAATCAAAGAAGCTAATTGTGGTAGCCGAAGGTTTGTTAACACATGTCTAGGATAGTTTTGGAAAATCTGCACACATTATGTAAGCAAACTCTTTTGAAAGCTTTCCTCATGTTAAAGGGCTGCATATGGTCCTTCAGAGTCTATACTCCTTCCTTATAGCCTATAGCAGTTGCCACTTTTAGGCTTGGTTCTGGTGCTTCTCTCAACCTTATTTCCTCGAATCTGATTAAAATGCACCTATGCTGGTGTTGGTGCTCCTGATTTATTTCTGAAGAAAGGAAAGAAAACTTATATTGCCATTTCTTTCAAAGATGACAATGCAGATTTGGAGAAATATTATTAATCTCTCTCTTAATGGATCTGATCCTGGAAAACCAGACTTGAGAACATTGTCAGCAATTGTTCCTGATAAAAAAAATATTATTCTGTAAGTTTTCCATAAGAAAAGTTCAAAACAGGAGAAGTGTCTTTCATCTGACAGACTGGCAGTCCTCACTGCTGTCTTGTGACAAGGATGTGACCTCTCAAGGCATCGTGTTTGAAAGGATCTCTTGTAAACTGTTGATTTATCTGTCTCCTTTTGTGCCTTTCCTTTTTTCTTCTTTTCCCTCACAGACCCACACAGTATCTAAATCTTTCCCCAGTTCTGGTCTTGTGGTGTTTGTTCTCATTTATTTGATCACTGTGAGGCCCACCTGGAGGTGGAAGTTCATCAGATCTTATTTCAGAGTCAGGGTACATTAGTTAGCATAGTGGTTAAAATATAAACAACAGTAGGAGGCTTTTTAAATAGAAGTTGACCCTTGAAATTGGATTTACTGTAAGCTCAGAAAAATCCCCCCTGAAAGAAACTGCAAACATCATCAGTACAGGGCACATCTCTTTGAATAAATTCACATAAACATAATTTGTCTAAATTTCAGAATCAGAAAATGTCAGAAAACAGCCACTTGGATATCACTTACTTGCTAAGAGGAGAGGACCAAAGGCAAGATTCAGTTGCCTTTGAAAATCTTCAAAGGAAGGGAAAATCTCATAAGGAAGGGCACATCTGCAAGACTGGGGGGAACATGAACTAAATGGGCTTGTGCAATTGCTCCAAAGAGTAATGCCATGGCATAGATCCATGGGCAGCTGGGAAATAAGGAAGGTATTTTTACTTTATTTTCAAACACAACCAGAACAAGTAACAAAAGTGCCCTGGTACACAGAGCCAGAGGGAACTTCAGGGTAATAACCCCAGAGAGATAATGTGGATGGGTTCTACCAGCAGGAGCTGCTGAAGGTAAGGTGGGAAGGGGTTCAGAAAGGGAAAAGGTAGCCAAGTTAAAAATACATCCTGTCCTTGCTCTGCACATGAAAGAACACAGAGGACAGAAGACCTCGTAGATAAGCTCATCTCTGCAATTTCTGGCCATAGACGCTAAGGTGTCCAAGGAAAGAAAGTGACAGTGACCGTAAGAAGATACAGAGGTAGTATTTTTCCAGCAGTGAAAGCTTTAGTCTTTGAAGTGTTCATTTGTTCTGGCTGCTGCCAAATATAAGAAAGCAGCAAAATAAAGTCAGATAGACATATGAGAAGCAGTGAAGTTAGGAAGTGAGGAATAGAAAGCAGTAGAAAGATCTAAAGAATTAGCCACTTGGGTTTTTGCATTACTGAAAAAATATCTGGAAATATGGGGACTGTGCAATTGCCTTTAACATAAGTGTGAAGATCATAAATGTCATAGATAATCTGACAGCAGCCTTTACTGGAGGTGATTATGAGAAAACATATGCAAGCAGCTGAAGAGTGAATTCAGGTGTAAACACTTACAAATAGTGCCCAGTTCAGCAGCCAGCACCTAGCACATAGTGTGCTATAGCTCTTTGTACATGAGGAACAACGTCATCATGCCGCTGCTAGGCAAGAGAGTAAAAGCATTCTTCATATACTAGATAGAGAACTTTGGAGAAACCACAGCTGAGCTAAAGGATGGCAGACAGCAGAGTGACTCTGTGGGATCTACTGGGGCTGGGATCTATTGGGCCTTGGATTCTATGGGGTGGACAGCTTTGAGTCCTGCTTGAGTGCCCCATCATGTAGTGCTCAGCACTAGCATTGCTTTGGGAAGTAGTTCCGCAAAACTACTGCAGTGATCTGCTGTAACTTACTCCATTTTTCTGTTAGTGGGAGCACATGCCCTGTATGCAAACTTATTCTTTCTTGATTTAATTATTCTCCTGCTATCACCACCCTGCCTGTGAGTGCTAGCCACAGCCTACATGTGGGGCTGCACAACACAAACAGAGAAGCAGCACATAATAGGGCCTGAAATGCCACCTCTGTGTCTGCTTTTCTGTTTAGTTCTGTTTTGTTCCTGGAACAGACTACAAGAAAGTGAGTATCTGTTTGCACTCGGGCTCCTCAAAGACTGGTACCCGGCAGGTCATGGCTACACTTTTTTGTGTTTAGCAGGCAAGCAGTTCCTGTCTCTGCTGTTCCAAATCACAGGACTCAGCTGTGACTGCTGTTCATGCAGAGAGACGGATGTTGAACTCTTCTCAGTCCTCTCTCTCACACCTAATGGTACAATTTAACCATTTGACCACTCTGTTCAAAATGTTTGGAGTTATTGGGGAGTCCTTGGATGAGGCAGATATTTGGCAGCAGGATGTGGGAGAGGAAATGAAGAAAAGAAGCATAACTACTATTCCACTTCAGGTTAGAAAAGCAGAGAGAGAATGTGTGGAGAGATTTTGCATTTTACCCAATAGTTGACCAAGTGCCTCCGAAGACCCCAGCAAATGGTATTTCTAAGGTGCTGTTTTGGTCTTTTTCTACACACTTAGACAGTTATATACAAAGATCTGTGCAGCAGTGGTGTGTTTACTAATGGTTCCACCTAGTGATGAAATCAGCTGTCTAGAAATGTCACTAAGATGAATGTTTATAACTCCTTCTCTGACAGTTTCAGAAAAGAGGAACAAGGCACCTCCATTTTCCACACAAAGTGTGTATT